TATTAGGGGTAGGTTGCGGTGGTTACTAAGGGCATATTGGGTATGACAAAAATATTATTAATTAATTTTTTAATAAATTATATTTTATGAAGTTACAAAAATATATTTATTACAATTTTCTCTTTCTTTCTCTCACTTCCACAATCTAGAGACAGATCTCTCTTCCTTTTTCCTCAATCTTTTCCTTGTTTTCGTCAGTTGAACTAATACCGCTGCAACAATAAAATAATACTAATTCATTAAAAACACTACCAATGCATAAAACACTAATATCATTCGAGAAATAAAAACACTATCATTTCACAAAACACCAATATCATTGCAGATTTAATCAATATCAATACATGCAAATCAATACCATTACATGATAATCAATACCAATGCCAAAAATAAAAAACAATACTAATGCGAAAAACACTACCAGTCTACCACTACACAAAAAGAACACTAACATTTCACAAAATAACAATACACTTACATGATAATCAATACCAATGTGGGAAAAAGAATACCAATGCGAAAAAACACTACCACTACGAAAAAATCACGACCAATGTGAAAAAATCAGATGTAGGGTTTTTATGCATCCCACATTTTCCTGCCACAACCGTCTCCCAGAGAGAGAGAAGGCAACGAGAGAGAGGGCGGCAAGAGAGAGAGAGAGAGAGAGAGCAACGAGAGGGTGCTCACAACGGTGGGCGAGGGTAGCCGGAGTGGAGGGTGACCGCCGACAGTGGGAGGTTTGCCGAGGGTGATCGGTTTTGGGAGGGTGGCCACTAGCGGAGTAATTGAACCACCAACAGAAGAGGTGTTGACGGCGATAAAGAATGAGATTGGAGTAGGGTTTAGGTATATAATATATAGAAATTAATTTTTTAAAGGATAAAAATCAGGTGTGGTATTTTTTTTTATTCTCAAAATTACCCTTAATCTAATCTTCATCGTCAAATTAAAATTAGGGTGAAATATAGATAATAAAGGGTGTAGATTTTAGTAGCCACTATGATTACTCAATTTTGAGTAATCACCCTAACGCGTTGCCATTTACTAGCATAAACCGACAGCCGAGGCGACAATGTGGACAGGAGCCTAACGTACAGATTTTTTCATGCCTTGTGTTTGTGTATGAGTCCATTACAACATTTAAAGCTTAATGCTAGTTCAAGACCCACACTAATCCGGAACATTGGATTGAATGTTGTTAATATCGGTTGAATTTTATAAGCTTTGCTAGGAGATGTTTAACCATTTGGCATTTTTTTTTTCAAAGTCAGGGGTAAAAAAATTCAGTCATACAGAAGCAAAAAAAGAGCGCGGGAGTCGACCAATAGTCAAATTCCCGATGAGAGGGCTTTTGTGCCACATGATGGGCGGCCCTATTAAGTTGAAGAGGCACAAAGCAGAACTAGATCCAACTGAATTGGGACGACAAGTGACGTGCGTCTTCTAGCTCTGCTCCCCCTCGATCATGAGCGAAGTCTCCATCCACCATTCGCCGTATTAATTGTTGCGAATCTCCATGAAATTTGACAGAAACAAAATCATGGGTCAAGCACCATTGTAGAGCATCTCTTAATGCTAAACATTCCATAACAAACACATCATGGATCCCTTCATACCATTTACCAAATGCAAAGAGGACATTACCTGATGTCTGGAAGCCTACGAATCCAATGCTTCCTCCTTGATCTCGTTTAGCCGCCCCATCGAATGAGACTGAGATTGCATTCGAAGGGAGTCCAACTCCAGCAGCCAGGGTGCTGGTAGCAGAGGGAGGACGGGGAATGGTGCTCCCGCGAACAAGATGAGGTGCTGCCTCACCCGCTGATCTCCACTCCTCTACTTGCAGCTGGTACTGACGGAATAAAGTGTGGGGAAGGTATAGTATATGACCGTGTACCGACCAGCACCTGCCCTTCCAAATTCGCCAGTGAATAAACACCATATCCGCTAACTCCCTCTTGGAAAGGTTCATGGAGAAGAAGAGAAAGTTCCACGCATCGTCTGGGGTCATGCCAATTAGGGAAGCTATCCTTTCCTCAAGATTCGCCAGTCGCCATAGTCCTCGAGCAACCCTGCATGTGAAAAAGAAGTGGAAGAAAGATTCTGGTTCCTCCGAGCAAATGGGGCAAATAGTGTAAGAGGTAAGCGTTTTGGTAAATAACACAATTTGCAGTGGAAGAAAGCCACAAACTGCCCTCCTTAAGAAAAAATTCAGCTTCGATGGCACCGGGATACTCCAAAGGAGCTTCCAAAATCGGGTCTCAAATGATAGCAGTGTCGGCGGATGCTGGAGATTGTGTTCAACGGATAAGACTTGGTACCCTGTCTTAACAGTGTAAACTCCCGACGGAGAGTAGTGCCAAATCAAGCGGTCAGTAGCAGCAGAGGTAGGAAGAGGAATAGATAATATAAGTGCAATACTATCAGGCACAAATAACGAAACCAGCAAGTCCTTATTCCACGAATGAGTCACATGACATATTAGTTCCGACACAAGAATAGGATAGGAACTCACACCTGGCCGTAAGACTGGGCACGACGGAGGAGACGAGGGAAGCCAGTGACCGTGGAAAATCTGGAATTGGGATCCATCACCGACTTGCCACCGCAGGCATCGTAGGAGCAGATTCCTCCCTTCCAAGAGTCCTTGCCAAGCGCAGGAAGGGTGGTTGCCAACAGTAGCATGAAGGAACTCATGATGAGGATAATACCTTGCTATATACATTCGGGCTAAGCAGCTAGATTGATTGTGGATTACCCGCCAAGCCTGTTTAGCTAGAAGTGCAACATTAAATCGGTTAAAGTCACGGAATCCAAGTCCACCCGTAAACTTACTCTGGCATAGCACGTTCCAAGAGATCCAGTGGATGCCTTTTTCCTTATCCTGTCCAGCCCACCAAAATTTGGATAACTGACTATTGCACCTACGGCAGGTTTCTTGAGGTGGCCTGAAAGCTGACATAGCATAAATCGGGCCAGCTGCCCCAATAGCTTTGATCACCACTTCTTTAGCCTCTAATGACATTGCCTTAGTCTTCCAACTGCGGATGCGAGCAGCCAGGTCTTCCTCAATGAATTGAAAGGACAGTGACTTCAATCGCCGCAGCTGAGAGGGGAGGCCTAGGTACTTGTCATCCGGGTTCAAAATCCCAACTCCAAGGTAAGCACTAATGGATTGAAGTTCCTGCTCCGAGACATTTCCACTCACACACACAGCAGACTTGTGTAAATTTACCCTTTGTCCACTATACAGTTCAAAGTTGGATAATAATTGAAGCAAGCTTGCACATTCCGGGATAAAGGCTCTAAGGAAAAGATAAGCATTATCTGCGAAGAATAAATGGGAAAGTGAGGGAGCTGACCTGTGCACCTTAAGATCATGCAGTGAGGAGTTAGAGATCGCTTGGTTGATCTTGGCAGCAAAAGCTTCAGTGTAAATGGCAAAGATCAGGGGCGAGAGAGGGTCACCCTAGCGAAATTCTACGCTGTGGCTGAAAGTATCCATACTCCGCCCTATTGAGAAGGACCGAGAAGCGAACTGTAGTGATACATGCTTTAATCCACATCATCCACTTCTCACAGAAACCCATTCAAATCATGACTTGAAATAGAAATTCCCATTCCACTCGGCCATACGCCTTTTCCATATCCAGTTTGAGAGCCATCCACTTATCCTGTCCACGCGTCTTAGTTTTGAGGAATTGCATAACTTCTTGGCCAATGAGAATATTATCAGCTATACATCTTCCTCTCACGAAACCATTTTGAAAAGGACTGACAATTAAGGGCAGAATGTTACTTAGCCTTTTAGCTAAAATCTTGGAGATAGCCTTATACAAAACCTGGCAGAGTCCGATGGGTCTCATTTGCCTCATGGAATCAACATTGGCGACTTTCGAAATGAGGGTCAGTAGGGTGTAATTGACACTATGAAGGAGCCGGCCTGTCCTGAAGAAAGATAGTATCGCCTCTGAAACTTCGGATCCAATCTCGTCCCAAAATCGTTGATAAAATGCGCTTGTAAATCCTTCTGATCCTGGAGCTTGATGTTTACCGATGCTAAAGAAAGCCTGCTTAATCTCCAAATGGGATACCTGCGACGTAAGGTGATCATTAATTGTAGAGTTAATCTTAACATGTAGATGCAAGCTATTCACAAAAGATGAGGGGTCAAAACCATTAGAAGTGAATAAAAGCTGGAAATACGACACTGCTACTTCCCCCCTTTACTGATTCAGCAGTCTGCAAGTCACCCTGGCTGTCTCTTAGAGCTGGGATATTGTTGGCTCTCCTTCGTTGCATCACCGTCAAATGAAAGAAATGGGTATCATCATCCCCCATGAAGCCAGTTGACCGCGCCTTCTGTTTCCAATAAAGCTCCTCTTGTCGATATGCCTCCGATAGTTGACTTTCTAGTCTATTGATTTCATTCCAATCGGCTGCGGCAGCGTCCCGAACAATGTCAATAGCTCCGCGAAGTTCCCGGATTTTGCGGGCAGAGTTGGTCGTACCAGCCTTGGCCCACCCCAATAGCTCATGGCGAACATATTTGAGCTTGGTTTGTATCTTGAAAAGTGATGTACCACCCACTGGTTTTTGCCATGCCAAGTGAACGAGGGGGGGGGGGGGGGGGACATATCTGAGTTGAAGTCCCAACGTTGATCATAATGGAATCGCCTCACATGTCGAGCAGCATGCGGTGATCAGACTCTCTATGTGTAAGGTGATGTACCTGCAACTCCGGCCACAAAGAAAGAGAAAGAGCATTAGACAAACATCTATCCAATCGAGCTTGGATGTGATCTCCATACAACTGACGATTGGACCAAGTGAACGGGGGGCCTTTGAAGCCCACGTCTTAAAGAGCCCCGACATCTAGAAATTGACTAAGTTGACTCAACGCTGCTGGAGTTGGAACTCGACCTCCATGCTTTTCAGAACTAGACAGTAAGCAGTTAAAATCACCAATCACAAATATCGGATCCTTGTACAACGACACTAAATGGGAAATTTCATTAAGTTGGAATTGTCGGGGGGCAACATCGCAGTGCAAGTGAACAAAAACTACAGCGAAACGTCCATGAGATGAATGCTCGCACTCTAAAAACAAAAAACCTGAAGACTCAACAGCAACAGAGACACCTAAACAAGACGACCAGGCAATAGCTAATCCACTCCCGTTATTAGACGCACTATGTACACGCTCCTCAGGGAAGCCAAGACTACCTAACTGATCAATAACAAACTCATCATCTCGCCTAGTTTCACTCAGACAAACCAAGAAGGGAGAGTCTCGCTGGACCACCTCCCGAAGTACAGGAACTGTTAGGGGCGCCCCCAAGCCCCTACAGTTCCAGGCAAGGGTGCTCATGGATCGTCCTGGGGCCGATTAGGGCCGGTTGCCTCCACCCTGTTGTCCTTATCTGCAAACACAACCTGATCCGGGGGTCCAAGACGTACCCTTTTGGCTTTTGGTTCTCCATGTTCGAGCATCTCGTCGCCAGCCTGCTGAGGGGTCTCAGAAAGAGAGCCCGGTATAGATGATATGTATAGCTGTCGGAGATGAGTAGCCACCCCCTGCTGAGGAGAGATTTCCTGTCGAGCAATCGCAGTAGCGCGCCATGGAACTGATCTGATGTTGCGAGCATTCAGCGCCGATCGTGCGCCAACTCTATTCCCAGCCAAAGTCCAGACAAAGCGCTTACGTCGGCGCGCCAATGTGTCTTCGCGCACCCGAGGCCCAAATTCGCTCGCCACCAGGTGTTTCCCATATCTTGGGGGCTGCACAACAAGTTCATCTTTTTTGGGGCAGAATCTGTTCACATGCCCAATCACCCCACACAAGAAGCAGAATTGGGGGAGGGACTCAAATTTCACTTTGACCATGAAGCATCCTTTGGAAGGGTCTTCGCGGGAAGTAGAAACTTCATCAGGGAGAGGCAGGTTCACATCCAGGGAGACCTTGGATCTGATGTAGAGCCCGCCAGAAGACACCGACCAGTGGATGGTTGCTTCCTCCATCGGTCCTATGGCCGTTCCCAGGAGAGACCCGAGCTTCTCAGTACAACAGTAAAATGGGACTCCCCAGAATTATACCACCAAGGGAACCTTGAGAAGAGCAGTAGCCAATTCAGTCGTCGACGTTTCCCACTTTCGCACATGAATGAGGAACTTTTCAAAGATCCATGGAGTGCCGGAGAGGATTCGTTGGGCAGTCTCAGAATCCGGGAGGACGAACTAAGGAGATCCCATTCCACCACCCCAACTGAGAAATCTCACTTCCAGACCCGGCCGACAATCGATCTCAGAGTTGAAATCGAGGGGAGCGGGCCACAGAGACGACCAATCAAAGTTCGGTCAATTCGCAGGGCACCCACCGCCACATCGGCATCGTTGAATTGAACTGCCGCCATCGTGACCAGGGAAGCTAATAACAATCGAGGGTTTATGCAGAAGGGGGAAAGCAGATTCAGCAAGTAAGAGTTGTGTGGAGCCAAGTAATCGTATGAGGGATTCCCTTTTATGCTTTCTCCGATGACTGAAAGTCGGATCCGACGGGGCACGTAGCCGGAGGTGGTTATCGCCATTGTCGCACAGAGGCGAAGAGCCCTACCCACTCGCCCAACGTGGGGTGAGAGGAGGGAGAATTGGGAACTTTTTTTTTCCTCCGGTATAATTTTCTCCCTTAACCATTTGGCATATTTAGTATACACAAAAATGAAAACAAATGAATGGATGGATCAATCAAACTCCAAACCGGCCTATCATTCATATGGGGCCGAGCCCGTGCAATTTTTTAGTTGTAGCCCACTGAAATGTTTGGACTGTCCGTATTGTACAACAACATACAACAATCTCATTTCGAGTCCTTCTATTTGTAAAAAAAAAAAAAAGGAAATAAAAGGAACATCCATGTTTACTATGTACATTGAGACAAAAGGAAAATGTCAAAGTGAAAACAGGGCAACTGCATGTTTACAATTTAGTGGTTAACCATGAGCTGAGGCATTAGGTTGAGCAGGAAGGACAACTCTTCTTTCGAAAATTGAGGTGGCAACGTTGTATTGAGCTGAAATTTTCTCAGCTGATCAACTTTTTTGTCCGAATCGTTATCTGATATCGCTCTTGTGATCTCATCGACAAGATCGACGATCACACCTTCAACTCCCATTAGATGTTGCATGTAAACCACTTCACCTATATTGCTGAAAGATGAAAACAAAATAACTTAACTTCCAAATAAGTTAGGGTGGACAATGATAGGTTCAGTTTAATTTGCGAGTAAACAAATTAGAATGTAGTTCAAACCCATGGAAACCCCTAATCTAGATTTACTGACCTAAAACCCCAATTAAAATTCAACACTAATCAAATTGTAACAGGAAGGAAGCAGGGAGAACAAAGAATAGTTTACTTCAATTGGCCATATGTGACGAGGGAGAGCTTGGCTTCCTTGATTCTGGCTATGGCTCCTGGATTCCTGAAGATGGCTTTCACCTCCGACACAATTCCTTGCAACCCACCTTCCATGCATACGTTAATCGCCTCCTCCAGTGAATTCCTTCTCGTGTCCTTGTAAATTTCTGAACCCCCATTGGTCAGGAAGAAAACCTGCAACTCCCATAGATAACCATGTTCTCTTATAAATTCATAAATTATGCTACTTACTAATTCGGATCGATGCTAATTGCAGACTACTACTTACAGGATACTTCTGCTGTAATTTTCGCATTAGTTGTGCTGCATCCGGCTGGAAGCTTGAGAACATGATGCGTCTATCTCCGGCATGCGCATGTACCACCTGTTGTAGGCATCCGAAAATTTGAGGTTATAGTGGACGAGTTGCTACTGATTATATATGAGTTTCGTATCATTGAGTATAAGTTGGATCAGAAACATCGCAAAAAATTATAGGTGGTATCATTACTGATCAAAACAGGTCAAATTAACATTAAGTTGTGAATAAATTAGGTAGAGCCCATTTTGATTCACAAGGAAGTGATCACTAGGTCACATTAGTAAATATATGTTACCTTGAGAATGACATCTAGAGAATGGGTGAGTTGTTGTTTGGTGTAGACAAGCTGGTCATCAAACTTCAACTCGATGTTGAACCCAACAGGGCTTTCAACTTTGTTGAATGCCTCTTCCAAAGTGCAGAAGCAATCATCTTGTTCAACTTTCCATTCAAACACCCTCCCATCTTTTGTTTTCCTAAACAACGGCTTCCCAACCCCCTGACCCACCCAAACATCATTTCACGCACATTAGCCTAACCAAAAAACTTGAACAACACTCCGAACAGCGAGAGTAAAAGAGATTCGATATCGTATCGCGTGAACTTACATTCGATTCGTCCTTCTGTGGCCCGTATGATAGAAGTTCTTGTAGAGTGAGGTCTGTGACTCTCCTCTCAACGAGCACGCCCTAAATGAAAATCAAGAACAAGAGTGATTATTGTTACTAGTTGAGCTTAATTAAGGATGTGAACAAGGCTGATTGGTGGTGGTAATAATTAATAAAATTACCTGTTGTTGGGTGAAGATGAAGTTGTCATGGAAAATGACCGGGCAGTCATCTTTTGTCACCTACAACAACAGTATAGATTGCAAATTTTTGTGTTGGTTGTTTTTGTAACTTGTTTGCCTTTTTCATACAAAAGCAGAGAAGAAGAAGAAGAAGAACAACAACAACAACAACCAATCAGTATGCTTTTCTATTCCAAGTCCAAAAGTGAATTCACGCACCTACGAAATTAAATTAGTAAAAATTGTTTACAATATCTAACTATCGAGTCAGACAGAGATCACAATATAAGTACGATGAAATTGTTTGACTGAATATGGTTCTGTGTCGTGTCGTCAAATCTCGAATCCAAGAATATAACAAAACTAGAAGATGGTCAATTCACTCAATGATCAACCAGCTCTTATACATTATTTATCTAATATAAGTGGAAAACTCTTCAATTTCACTCGTTCGCGCTAGCAGGCCGGGCCAGCCCATTGTTCAGAAGAGTCAACTAGCCCTGGCCCTGGCCCAGGCCCAGGCCCATTAATTATCAGCTAGACCCTAAGAATAGCATGCAGAAGCAGACAAAAGCGGCCGTACGTATAACACACGTCAAAAGGTAAGAATTCTTTCTCCAGTTCTAGGACAAGGAGGAAAGGAAAGTCCACTCTTTTTTCCCTTTCTCAACCGTCAAAATCTGCGTACGAGAACGCCGCGGCGAATAGAGACAGAAAATTTCAGAAAACCCCAAAACTCTCTCTCTCTCTCTCGATCTGTCTTTCAACTCATTTCCATCAACTTAATTAGAATGACACTTTAATTTGTTGGGAAGGAAGGAAACTGACCTGAACGTCGAATTCGATGAAATCGAGGGGGAGCTTGGCGGCGGCGTTGAAGGAGAGGAGAGAGTTCTCCTTGAGGGATTTCATCCTAGGGTCCGGGGATTGGAGCATGTTCATCCCGCTGCCCCTGTGTCCCATTACTACCAACTTCGTAATCAACCCAATCGTTTCCTCTCCTTCCCTTTCTCCTTCTTTCAAACAACGAAAAGAAAACCCTTTGAAATCAGAATCTACGTCGAATTTTCAGTTTCTTTCTTTGGAAATAGAAAGAAGAAAAGAAATGGATGTGTACCCTTACGATTGTCAACAGTATTGGCGAAGCCGCGGGGGGAAGAAAGTGCCAGTTGCTGCTGCTGATGATCGAGATTGGGGTGAGGGACGTCGGAGACATGAACGGCTTTTACGGCCATCTTCTTTTTTTTTTTTTTTTCCCGGGAAAGGAAAAGGGAAAAAAACGAAGGGGGAAAAGGGGAACACAAAAGGGAAGCTTTTGCAGCCCTGTTTTCTTTTCTGGTGTTGGGTTTTTGTCTCAATGGCAGGTTATGGCGTTGGGATGGTGACTTGGTATTTAAAGGCTTTGCCTTTTGTTTCAGATAAAACCGATTTTACTAATAACCATGGATTTTACACGTCATACATCCTTAAAAGGTTAAATAAATTGTGAACGAGAAAATGGTGGAGGAAAAAGGCATATTCCATAAGGTAGTAGATGGATTAAGAAGAATATTCTCGACTCTAATTTTGGGGAGTTCTGGATAATTAGGGAGTCTAAATTTCGTGGAAAAATAAATAAATAAATGAAGAGTGCAAATCCCAAGTGCCCTAAAATTTCCAATTAGGTAAACAAGTGCGTTCTTCGTTGCTCATCATCAATGGCAAGAAAAAATAAGAATGCTCTAGAGATTAAACTAATAATTCGAATCTTTGATTTGCTTTGTGCAAACAATTATCGATGAAACTGTCATTCCTCCTCCTGCACCATCCAAATTTGGAGTCATAGGAAGGAAGGAAGGAGATCATACATGCATGCATATATACGTGGCACGCAACAAGCTAGAACTCTCTTCTTGAAGTTCACAACCGATCAAGTTTAAGATAAGGTGTGTCTCTTCGTCCTCTTTGACAACTATTGAATGGAAGGCGTCGATCGGTAGCTGGCTGGTCGTCATTGCATTGCAAGCAACAAACACTGATAAAATGAGTCTCATAATTACTTCCCCCCCTAGTTCTTTCAATCTAAAAAAACCTACAAACCTTTCCAGAACATCTCCTCATTTACTCTCTATACTCTTAGAGCTATTACAGATTCACATATCACTTCTTAATATTAATACTGTCTTCATGGGTAATTCCTATTTATCAGCGCGTCGTTCAATGGATCGTGGAGGCCCTGTTACAAAATCGAGATGTGGCCCATGAGATCTTGTTATAAGTATAATAAAATTTAAATGATTATAATGTTATTATTCGAAATGCAATATATTTCTATATTGTTTAAAATAAATTATATATTATCTTTCTATTTTTCGTTGTCTCCATGAGATCATTTTCTATTGTTATCGTAGCTATTTCATTAAGATTTTTTTTTGTATTATTGTTAATAGAAATAGAATTTTCGAAACACAAACAGTAGTTTAACCATCATTATTCGTGTCTAGTGTGTATATACATGAGATTATTAACCAATAACTAACACTAGTATTAATTAATACAATTAAACTCATCATCATACTCATAATCAATTAATCATACACTAGAAAACAACCTACAATATACAATCGGATTAACTAACGAGTCTTGTTGGAGGCCCCTAATTGTCGGAGGACCTGTGCCAAAGGGCCGGCTGGCACACCCTCTAAGCTGGCCCTGGTATTTATATGCATCATACACCAGTCAGCCATCATCCATCACGTTCCATCTTATCCAATAATTCACTAATCTCATGACACATAACATATACCAAAAATCATACTCAATACATAATCACATGTACGGTTAGGTTAATTAAGTAACTTTTAATACCTTTTAACTTGCCAAGTCATACACTCTTCCAAGCAGTGGCGGAGCCACTTGTAGAGGAGGGGGGTGCAAGCACCCCCTTGGGTTTGGAGAAATTTTTTTCGAGTAGGGGTATATACAAATTCGAGCCAATGACCATTCAGTTGCAGGAAGAATTTCTTATCATTTCGATCGAGTGAGTTTTGTTATGCAATGCAGTTTCGTCTTTATTTATAGTAATAAATTGTTGTCTTTTGTTTAAACTCGCTCATTTTTTTTTTGTAGTTCTACAACAGAGAAATTTCTTGTCTTTTGTTTAAACAAAGTTGAAAGTGAAGAAATATCAATTGAAGTTCACTTGTTTGTTTCACAAAATCAATTCCAAGGTACTTCTGAGTTCTAATTTGTAATATTTGATTAATGGAAGTCTTGATTTGTATGTATTGAACTTATTTGTTTGACGTTGTAACCGGTGTACGTGAAACTATTTTAATGTAACTGTATGAATTTAGAGTATTGCGTTGTTGACTTTTTGTTTAATTTAAAGTTGACTTTTCTATTGTATAGGTGATTTTTTATGATATGATAAAGACACCCACTTGGCCAATTTTCTGGCTCCGCCACTGCTTCCAAGATATAAGATTGGGATTCCCATTGGTTCCCATAGAATAGAGCATAACACTGCGGAACATATCTCAGTCCGGTGTCAATATACCACCGCGGGGCGTACTCGACCCAGTGACAATATACCACTGTGGAGTGCATCACAGGCAAGTGTCATCATACCATGTTCTCCCTTTCTCCATATCTTGTGTTGAGTGTACAACAAGACAATCTTTATGTTTGATTTAAGTATCTCACAGTATCACTTCCATGTATGGCACTAAGGCACTTCATTTCCCTTTCACATACAAATCATACACTTTTAATTATCTCATGCTCTTTCTCTCATTCATATGCCTTATAAGTCATTTTCAGGTTCCAACCATATACTTCGTACTAGGCAAGATATCTTGCCTATTATTTCAATTGAGTGCCTTAAATTTTTTTATATTAAAATGAGGCCGAAGGCTAGTCTACAATCTGTTTACAAATGTGCTATGCACAAACAATCAAAACACAGAAAGCATCAACTTTGTACCACAGTCCACACTACGAGGGAAACTCACCCCTACCATGTCGTCCATGAGAATCCTATGTAGATATCGTCCATGAGAATCCTATGTAGATCCTTTGGGGGTTCCATGATTTCATAATACCTAAAGGGATAGTTGAGATTGTGCTTCTAGATCGCCAGTCTGCGACTCTATCTCCCTAACGGTATGTATGAACAATACGGGTTACCCACTCTAGAACCAATTCTCTACGAATGGATCCTAGCATTGTTGCCAGCGGGTGGAAATGATCTGACCGGTTCTGAATGAGACTTTGAATAGGATTCCACAATTAAAAACTTGATATCCTTTTGCCATGCTAGCTTAAGGCCTTGATGAATATCCCGTAGAAGCTTTTCAATGGCTGCTCCAAATCCCAACTAGTTGTGGAAACCTGAGATCCATGTTCCATTCTCATCTCGAAGTACTCCCCCGAACAACGTGATCCGATGAGCACCTTGAGCAGCTCCATCAGTATTCATCTAGCACCAACCATCAGCAGGGCGCGACCAGCTTATTTGAGCCTATGTTCTTTCCAGTGTTCGCGAAGTTCAACAGGGATGAGTTGGGTAGCTCGGTTCCCTTGAAGACTCTATCATTCCTGTGAATTCCAACTAAACCAGGTGTTGAACTGTTGTGTTTGGGAATTTAATGTTCCAACCTGCATTACACAAAGATCTATCAATACGACAAGCCCAAAATTTACGGTTAGAGTCTCCTCTAAACCAAGTAAATTTGGAGAAACCAAGATCCAGATGCTTCCCTTACGACCGTCTGCATCAACTCGTATTGCTTCTGCAAAACCCAACTTGTCACACACTTCATTAGCCAGCTCACCATTAATTTCGGGTTCAAGAAAGAAAATATAGTCTGTGTTCGAGTAGCAGCCTCAGAACTAGAATTAACTTCTTGCTGCCAGCTTCGCATACGTTCCAGGAGAGTATTTTAAAACTATTGGTTGTATCAATGATCATAAAGGGGAAGAAATAAACAAGTAGTCCAACAAAATCAAAACAGACAACACGGGAAACTAAAAAAGGATATCATGTTCCCAAGGGGGTTAGCCAACGTTTGCTTCTATGGCTGTGGGGGCAGGCTGCAATTCGATCGTCATCTCCGAGTCCGTAGGGCTTAGAAGCTTCCCTCCGATCCTCGTTCCATGGAGCTATCGCCGTTTCAATGTCTCTTATCTACACATAATATAATACACCGAAGGGAAAAACGGGAGCCCCATTTCAAATTTCCTGCAACGAGAGTGAAAGTAGGAAGGACATTTTGGTCTTCACACTTTTTTTAATTCATTAAAAATACACGTAGTGGGATTCGAACCATGACCATTTTAAGGAAAAGTAAGGATCATAACCAATCACACTAAGTACATTTGTTGCATTTTTTTAAATTAAAAAGATATAATAGCAAAGAGGAAAAAACCTTTCCCCCATTTCAAATTTCCTGCTCCAGGAGCGTTTGTACGAATGATAGAATAGGGAGTGTCAAGTTTTTCCTCTTTCCTCTGTGGAACGGGCCAACTTACCGTACACATGCGGATTTAAACGGGTTCAAGAGTGTCAATTTTTTCATTAAGCCCTTTTATTTCTCCGTGGTGATAAAATATATATGAAGAGGCAAAAACAATACTTCTTTTTATTGCTAAAAATAAAAAATTTAACAATAAACTAATGCATGGTATCTAATGGGCTAACCGCTAACCATAAAATAAAAGAGTTGAATTAGTTTGACCTACACGGGATTTGGCCATCAAGTAAAACAAATGAACATCATTGGTTTGACATTCTAAAACAAGCTATTTTCTCTGGCATAATATATTATGCTGTTATTTTATATCTTAGTGGCTAAAATATAATGTATTTTAAAGTTATTCATTCAACCTCGACCAACCCAATTAGTCCAATTTTTATCATTTCAATTATATAATTATTTGATATCATAATGATCAAATCATAGTGTATTTTATAGGGAATCGTTTGGTATTTGTTAGTAAAAAACTAAACAGAAAGATCTATTTGGTTATTTTAAACATTAAAACGATCCTAACATTTTCAGTTCCTTTTGAATTTCTATGGTTTTATTCCCGAATAAGTGATGTGCAAATGGCAGTCATCTCTTTTCTTTCACTATTTTTTATTTTCAAATAAAAAGTTTAAAAGTAAAGAATAATTAGAATTTGGCATGGGTCGGTCAAACAGGCTGCATTTCAAGTTTTGGCCCCTTTTGATCAAGTCTAATTTATAATCACATGGTTCCCTGATACCCGATAAAAATCTCAATCCAAACCAGTTTGGCAGGTGAGTCCGTGTTTACCACCATTTTCTAGGGATACGACAACGACGGTTCCTATCCCAAATCGTGTTGTTCGTTCTTTATTTCCTTAGATTTTATCATAGCCTGAAAAAAACCAGAAAGCACAATGACGACAAGATGAAAGTTTTATAAACCAAATTAATCGGCCAACGGGCCGAGTAAAAGCTAGCAACGATTGTGAGATGCTCATTTCCCGAAAACCGACGGGATAGGCGATTTTTTATTCGATTTTCTGGAATTCAGTTTCTATAAAACTTACTCCACCTCATCATATTACCAGAAACAATATTGTTTCACAAGGTAATAGGTACTTGATTTTGGTTCATAAGGCCGATTTTTGATTTGTTGCATCATTAATGTCTCTTTCCTGCTAAAATTCACTATTTTTATCACGTGTTTCCCAAAAAAACTATACAACAATAAGTTATACACCCCATTACATTATCAAATTTCATACCTCAACTTCCTCTAGGGATGAAAACAAAATCCGAACCCACGGGTACCCACCCTACCCAACTCGGTCAACGCGGGTAAAATCCGTGTTGACGGGTTTTGGGCCGGGTTTGGGTTTAAACCCGTTCAATATTCATCGGGTTGGGTTTGGGTTTAGGTAAACCCGACCCATGGGTACCCGCCCACACCCATATAATTAATTTTCTCGATATATTTAATATTCTAAACAACTTATCTTATTTATGTTTGTGGAGACATGTCTAATTTTTTCTTTCTAATTGTGTAGAATGAAGTTGATGTTGTCGAGTGGAGAGTGAAGAAACTTAATTGAAAGGAAGAAGCTTTCAATTAATCATGTTATTTATGGTTAATTTGTTATTTGCTTGAATTTTCTAGAATGGTATTTTATATATGGATAATTTGTATTGATAGATTGATATTTGACTTTAATTTTGATAGCAACTTGTTATTGTAAATTTTTTAAGACAAAAACCTGTGGGTACCCATGAACCCGCGGATACCCAGGGGGTTGAGTTTTTCAAACCCAGTGGATTTTACCCCGAATTTTTTTCACGGATAAACCCATGAATTTGGATTTGAATTTGGCAAAACCCAACCCAACCCGACCCATTGCCATCCTACCTTCCTCCGGCCAACTGGCCGGGGCCCACACTAGTTGTTAATATACACGTTTCTCGTTGCCCACCCCTAAATGGGGATGAGAATTAAATGGGATGGTGAAATGGGAGAGAAAGAGATGTGATTTGGAGGGTAAGGCAGTGGCGGATCCAGAGGGTGGCCATTCCGGGCCACGGCCCAGCCCTCCCCTGTATTCGGAACTAGTATAGCCCTTATGAGTTTATCGATTTTATCCATTTGGCCCAGTGTTATTTTATAATAAAATTCTGTGTAATTAGGAAAATGGGTAAGATGAACATATTCAAATCATAACTCTAAATTTAGCCTGAAAATTCTAGCTCCAATGATTCTCATATAAAGAAAAGCAAACAATGAAACCTAAAATTCTAAAACGTAAAAGACTAAAAGAAATATGAGGTTTATTCCCTTAAGAAATTACTAGAGCAGCTGTTGAAAATTGGAATTGATACACAATATATATTGATTAGTCGATTGTGTTGACATTTGCTCAACAAAATGAACGATGAATTTCTCTCCTATTGGTTAACTATTTTATCTTAAAAAGAGTAAGCTATTGATGTGAATGTAAAATCTATTATTGATGAATTCACTATATTAAAATTTAAAAGATCAACGTGTACAATTGATATTATAAAAAAAACTAATGATTTTTTTACGGTATCTAATTTTCTAATGAAATGCGGCCCAGTGCTACGCTGTGTCCTGGATCCACCGCTGGGGTAAGGGTGGGGTTTCATCAAGGCTTAACTGAAATCTAAAACCCCAATGAGTGATGGGTTCCTCGAACCGACCCATTCTTGTATTAAGGGTGGAATCTAAACCCAAAATTCAGAGTGTTATAACCATCATTAATATTTATGGCTCTCAGTACCTACGAGAACCAATCACAAAAGATCTTCGTTGCCTTCTTGATTGTAGTGCTCGACGTGGCCTCCCAGTTTTGATAAATTCAATTGACTACATGCACTGCGAGTGGACAAATTGTCCAACTGCATGTGCAAACCAATATACTAGATACAAGAGGAAACCGAACATTGTCCTTAAATTCATAGCATCATAAGGCACATGGATTTGACATGCTTTCTTCTGATCACTTGGATCGAACAATGGCATTAACATTTTTGGATTGTCCCCACTTTTTTATGCTACAAAGATCAAAACTCATGTATACGAAATACGATAAATACTAAGGGGTCGTTTGCTTCATGGATTTAAAAAACGAGGGTTTTGTAATTTAAAAACCCAAGGATTTATCAAGGATTTGAGGCATCATGGATTTGTAACAATCCTTTGTTTGTTGAGATGTTTTTATCATGGATTTAAAGGTGTGAGATTTCTAACTTGAAGTCTAAAATTACATTACTATCCTTTTCTATATATGTTTGACATGTTTATGATATGTATACAAAACAAAGACAAAACTTCAAAATTACCTTACTATCATTTTCTGTATGTTTGACATGTTTATGATATGTACACAAAACAAAGACAATACATACTAATAAGCATAATGTTGCCACATGTACAATAATAATAAACGAGAAAATTCCGTTTAACTGTTAACGTAACATAATCAATTACCAATTCTTTGTCCTCCTTTTCAAAAGTAACATATAACAACATATATATTAGAATCGGGAGAACAAAGAATTACACGTTCAATGAAAAGGTCAAAGAAAACTAGAACACAAGAAACTATATAAAAAATCTAACTCATGTTGCACATTAATTGAATGTTTATATTATTCATTCATTGTTAATTACTTGATTAATTATAATGTATAATAGTTAAATTTGAGGGCAACCTTGGAATATTAAAAATGCATGAGGGTATATGGGTAAAATCCCATCAAGGATTTATACCATGTTCCAAATCCAACATCAACACGTGGGATTTATAAGTTCGTGGGGTCCACGGATTTGAACCCTTAAAATCCGTGGGCCCCACGGATTTGTTCTCCAAAAAAAGTGCAAGCAAACAATGGATTTTTGATAAATCCATGATGGATTGGATTTGGGTACCAAATCCATGATCCAAATCCATGAAGCAAACGACCCCTAAATTTTACAATCAATATTATTATGTTACTGATGAAATTTATCATTAATTGGGTACTTTGTGAAGACTATTAACAACTAATACAGTCAAAACCACACTTTAAAATTTAAAAACTTACACTTGGTCCCAAAATCATTTCTCTGTAAAATCGCAGTTTTTATAACTAATTTAGTTAAAAATGCGCTTTAAAACTTAAAAATTTACGCGTTTACGCTTCCAGATCACCAAAACACTTCTATTTAGAAACGCGCTTTTACAACATTCTTTAACAACTTCAGTAACTAGAAAAAGTAGGTGTTTGCAATGTTTCAAGTGGCAATACCCAATTTAGGACAAAATACGTGGAAGTAAGAAGACAAGATTAAATGAAAATAAAGCCAAAGCCTGAAACCACTAGTGTTTCACTAACCCAAAAAATTAGTATTTTTTTATTACCCAGAAACTTCGGCCTCACGTGTCACTTTGTGACAGCGGGTCCTACTAAATTTTGGGGCCACCTGCATTCACTTTGACGCCAACGGGGCTTTGCTCCCAGCAACCTTATCCTTCGGGAACACCAACGAGCCTCGCTTGGATTCGAACCTGAAATCTGCACCTCCCAAACCTTCACTGTCACGGCAGCTTACCGTTAGGCTATCATAGAAAAAAAAACTAGTGTTTTTAAAGCAACACTGCATTAAATTGGAAGCCTGAAACCACCTTGCGTTTCACTAACCCAAAAACTTAGTGTTGTTGAAGCAGCGCTGTGTTGGCAGGTCCAACCGGTATGATTAGGACCCGATCACCAGGCCGGTTCGGATGCTTGTTGTGGTCGCTTGCTCAGAGCCGGCCAATCCAAGCGGTTACCCGCTCAAACCAGATAATCATCCACCTGGCTTGAATCTTGAAAAGTGTACTTTTGAAAAGGCCAAATACACTTGCATAGCCAAAACTTTGACGATTTTGCCAAATATAGCCACTTTTGGCGAAATACCAAAAATAGCCAATTCCGTCCAATTGTTTGACGGTGTTAATTAACGTGCTGACTGGACTAACAGCAGTGGTTGACGTGGCATATTTTATTAAAAAATAATGTTAGATGGAAAATAATTAAAATTTTATACTTATATTTTTAATCAAATTAAATTAAAAAAAAAATAAATCTCTTTCTCCCCTCCACCACCTCCTCTTCACCTTATCAATACTTCCTACCAGAAGCTTCCTCTTCTCCAATCTCCACCATCCGAGCTCTCAATCCATCTGCCCCATTCACCACCTTCCTCCCGTAAACCCTTAGCAGAGGTTCCAAGACCCAATCCCTGCTCTGCCTCTCCAAATCCAAATCCACCGTCCACTTCGATTTCCTCGCCAGTTCCTCCGCCGCCCCATTCAAATCCCTAGCTCCTCTTAGATACTCTGTTCCTGCCTGCTCCTCGGAGGATCTCTCCTCTCCAGTCTACGATTCCTCCGCTGCATCTGTCGTCTCCAGTTTGGGGAAGTCTCAGAAGAATCGCCTCCGAGATGGGGAGACTCTCTACGGACTCTTCTTGCTCAGCTTCTCCCCTACCCTCGCTAAAATCGCCGCCTCGCAGGTGACGATTTCGTGCTCGTCGACATGGAGCACGGCCCCGACGGAATCACCGAGGCTTTCCACTACATGCGATTTCTGCAGCCACTCGTATCAAATCCCTAATCCCCAATCCCCGCCGCCACCAAACTTCCACAAATCCCCGCCGCCGTCACCTCTCCGCACATCACATCCTCACCACCAACGAAGGAGAATCGAGCGCAAGTAGATCCCCGTCCGCCGCTCGGCTACAGGAACCTCGTCCCCGGGACGAGATCTCTTCATCGTCGGTGGCACGGCGGTTGCACCTGCAACTTTAAGCTTGTGGCTGCCGCGGGGGTTGAGAATGGAATCAGGCGTGGACGGATCAAGTGGAAAGAGACGGTGAGTCAAGTTCGCCTATAAAATCGGTTCTTCTTCTCCGCTAGCTGCAACAGAGGAGGAAGAAGATGGGTAGAGCCGAGAGAGGACCCAGAGTGGAATCGATTCTATCGGCGAGATCCTAGGGTTGGATTCCATGTTTTGAATTGGGTCATTTTGAGGAGGCATCATTTTTCTGGATTTACTAGTCGGAGGTTGAAGATGATGGTTAGAGGGCTTGGGTGAATGAAAGGGTGAGATAGATAGAGAGAGGTTGGACCAGAGGGGAGAAAGAGACAGAGGAGTGGGAGAGATGTTTTGTTGGTGAAGATGAAGTCAGGGGAAAGAATATGAAATAAAAAATTTTAAAAAATAATTTGTTATAAAATTAAATTTTTAATGTGACGTGGCATCCTACCTGTCAATGGATGCTGAGGTGGGAAGGAAAGACACGTGAGGTGGCAGCCACATCAACTGTCCGTTAAATAGACTAACGGTGTCATTGACGTCATTAAACTATGTAACGGAAATGGCTATATTTGTCATCGAACTTTCAAAAATCTGGCTATTTCTGGTATTTCCCCAAAATTGGCTATATTTGTCACAACCGTCAAAGTTTTGGCTATGCAAACCATTTGAAAATTATAAGAGGTGGAATTCAAACCCATCATCTTTTGTTTAAAAAATTATCACTTCAACTAGGCTACCATATGAAACCAAATGCAATATATTTGATTTTAAAAAGATAAGAATTCCTAATTTCAATTACTGTTATTAAATTATTTCTACTTCCAAAAATTCACTTATATTAATTTTTATTTTCACAAAATAATTACTTTTTACTTGCCATAGATATTTATATAATAATTTGATAGGAATATATTAGAATTAATATTTAGTGTTTGGACTTTAAAATTTTAGGGACCTCCTACCATGCTTTGAAGTTACTATAACTTGCCAATTTTGATTTGCTATAGCAGGTTTTATAGGTCGCATTACGTAAAACTAATATTTATTACGTAACAATTACGTAATGCTTGTTGGTCTTACGTAAGAGTTAAACTAGAAGCGTTACGGAAGGTTTCCGTAACGACTTATCATTTTACGTAACGTTAGGTTAGTATTCATTACGTAAAAACATTGTCTATTACATAAGGCTACCATAATGACATTTTACAACTGTTCCATAAAATACACGGTCATTACGTAAAGGTTACGTAACGAAGGTTATTTCTTACGTAACAGTTAAATTAGAAGTGTTACGTAAGACTTCCGTAATGACTTGCCACATTACGTAACTTGATTAATATTCATTATGTAAAAGGACCATCCATTACGTAAGGCTTCCGTAATACCATTTGTTAAGCACATGGTATTCTTGTCTTCAGACCTGTGCAAACTTCAAGCCTTTGTGAGTGGCTTTCATTTGAGGGGGCGTGTTAGTGTTGTGGTATATGATCCACGATTGAACCTCTCCCAACAACTCGAGTTATTGGGAGCAACTGGTTCTTGACATACGTAACAGTTAAATCAGAAGCGTTACGTAATTCTCCAGTAATGAATTAACAGATTACGTAACGAAAGGTTAATATTCATTATGTAAAATGAGTGTCTATTACGTAAGGTTTCCGTAATGAAGAAGATAGCGTAATAGAAACCTGAGGAGTTTTCTGGACAGGAGATGATGATAGGAAATTAGGATGAGTGTAATAGAAAGCTGAGGAGTTTTCTGGATGAGTGTAATAGAAACTCCCCAGGTTTTTTTCTGGACAGTAGTATGTATAAAATAAGGATGTGAAGCTTCCAGTTCCACCCAGCTGATGTTTCCTCCTCGAACGATCCGTTCCTGTCTGTCTTGTTGTGAAAGATAAGTGACCTTCGTTCGTGGTCGGGGTGGCGACACAACCAACACCATGCCCCAAAAAAAAACAAGGTGTTTTTGCTTTCCCCCGCGTGACACTGTTTCTTCTCTGGCCTTCTTTTGCTCCAAATGGCACGTTTGGTTCTTGGAGCTACACACTGTAATGCTGCTGATGCATCATTCGTTTTCCAAGGCCACAAGAAAAAAGAAAAGGCAAGAGAGAAAGACAAGTAATGAAGAGGTAAGCAAAAGCAAAAGACGAATGTGGTAATAGTGTTCTTCTTCTCTATACATGTGGACACGTTCCACCTACTGCCAAAACGAAATTAAAGTGTTGTTTGTTCTCAAAAGGGTGACAACTACTCCTCTAACCGCAAAGCTTCACTGCCTAAAGAAACCAAGGGGGCCTGTATCTGACCCCAAAAAATTCGAATCGCATTGTCTAGAATGCTCTCGCCCAAGTTGTGAGCTATGGCCTAAACAAGCAAGAAAATCAGCAACTGACCTGTCAATCCAATGGCAGGAGCTTCCGAGCCTGCGCCACTAGAATGCAATTCGGGTGGCTTGCTGAATTGAGGTAGCTGAATGGCTGTACTGGAATCAGTTCCCCCCGAACGACCTCGCCGGCTGCTGAACTGCACAGTTAATGTATATCCGAGCCATCCGGTTTGGGGCAGGTCCAGCCGTCGTGTGTTTAAAAAACGTCATCAACCAGTTGGTGCATAAAACCATTGAGCAGTATCAATCGCCCTTATAAGAAGAAGAAAAAACAAGTATATTTAGTTATTAATTATTGTTAAAATAAAAGTTTAATACACTTGTATATCCAAAACTTTCATGGTTGTGCCAATAATATCCAAATTTCCCGAAATACCATTTATATCCATGTTTTAAAGTTGTTCTTTGCCAAATCTATCCATTTTCCAATATATTTTTGATTTTTTAAAGTTGTTCTTTGCCAAATCTATCCATTTTCCAATATATTTTTGGTTAAATACACTTGTATATCCAAAAACACCGTTAAAGAATGTGAAGTAATTGGATATAAGTGGTATTTCGGGAAATTTGGATATTATTTGCACAACCGTGAAAGTTTTGAATATTCAAGTGTATTTAACCTAAAATAAATTGTGAAAATTATACCAAATATACGAATTGAAAATAAAATTCCATCCACAGAACAATATGATAATTACAAGTCTCTGACCATACCCAACAACATGCATGTGAACTGAAGCACATCAATTTCATGGATCGATACTTGCCATCAATCCAAATCGTAATATCTTCATAATTCAAATACAAAGAAATATTAATTAATGACATACTCATGCACCCATTCTAAGACTTGTCCACTTCAAACCAAAACGTCGCTAAGTTCTTTTTTTTATGGCAAGTAGATGGATTCATCCATACTAAGGAGAATCGTCCGACTTTTCATAACAAAGAGTTTGATCAAGTATCTTCGAGAATCATTATCGCCAATAATAACTATCCCTAATCACAAAAAGGTAATTAGACATAAAGGGGATCCAGTTCAATCAATAAACATGTTGCATGAGATGCAATTCTCTGTCTTCACTTGCTTATCGTGTATGGACACCTATATATGCTTTGATTTGGTTTCGGACAGCACCAAACGTGCAATCATGTATGTAGTAATATACCCGCTCTATGTCCACATACCGTATTCTAACGTACCCATACTGTATTCAAACTTTGGAATCGAGATCAGAGATAAAGATAATTTAGTAACTGGTGAGCCAAGAAAAAACAGAGCAGGGTTTATCTTGTGTACCGATTGAGTTGGAAGGATTGGAATGGTGGAACAGGAACAAAAGAGCGTGGATCTGTTCCCCCGCCATTTTCAATCTTCGCCTTCACTTACTTAGCTTTCTAAGTTTGCCTTCCATCTTGCTGGCAAATGGCATCATGGCTTGGCTTAGCTTTATGCTGTGTGGGGACGGCTTTACCTCCCACATATCTTCCCTTGCTGTGCTGAGCAATCTTTGTGATCGTTCACCTGTCAAAGAGACGATCTTCAGCTATCAGAGATACCAAACAAAGGAAACCAAACAAAAAGAATAGAAAGAACCATAGGTAGTCGAAAAGGGTGACAATTGATTGAACTCTAACGGGAACCACATGAATGAAACTTTTCTTATGTTTTGATTTTGACCATTTTCTGAATTAACAAAAAAAGCTACATGTGCTACTGATGTTTGGCACCAACTCTTAATCAGCTCGTCATTTCGATTGCCTCAGTTACGACGGTACTCTTATCTACTGTAGCATACGAATCAGAACCCGATCAGTGTTAAACACATGTATCGTTCATAATGTATGAAAAGAGAAGGCCAAGAAATGCCCCAAAATTGACAGTAATATATCAAGAAGCCAACTGTATTTGATCATGAGCAGTCAACAAAAACAACAACTGATAGCAGAGTTTCAGGTATCCTTCAAACTTCTGATTTTGAACGAATTCAGAATACAACAAACAACGACATCATAGTGCCACTTTCCCTCTTATGCTGCAAGTAAAATAACACACAACAAAGAAAGATCAAAGCTTGGCAAAGACAGGGTTCCTTTTCTGCAACTGTGCAGAGACGGCCTCTGTTAAATCATCAGACATAAGCATTGCAGAGTTCCAAGTTGCTACATAATCCAATCCTTGTTCTACATTCATATCCCTGCTCTTCAAAAGCACCGATTTTGTTCCAATCACAGCAAGAGGCGATTTCGCAGCAATCCCTGCTCAACAATTTCATTCAGTAATAAGCAAACCAAGCTAAAACAATAAGCAATGAAAAGATCAATGTGGGTATACTTGTGTTTTCATCTACCTTCTGCGACAGTTCTGACACCTTGATCCAATTCCTCCTTGGAACCAAAAACCCGGGAAACCAGACCCAACTCCTTGGCTTCCTGACTCGAGAATCTACGACCCGTTAAGCTCAATTCCATCGCGTTCCCAAACCCTACAATCGCAGGAAGCCTCTGAAGCGTCCCCAGATCAGCCGTAATCGCCAAATCCACCTCCTTGACGGAAAAGAACGCGTCCTCCGTGCAATACCTAATATCACAGGCGGTCACAATATCGATTGCTCCGCCGATGCAGGCGCCATGGATCGCGGCGATAACGGGCTTTCTGCACCGCTCGATCGCGGTAATGGCATCCTGCAGGAACTTGATGTCACGGCGGAGCCACTCACTGGCACGTCCCGGGCGGAGGGATCCGGACTGGCTTTGTATGGAGGCAAAGATTTTTAGGTCAATTCCGGAGCAGAAATGGTCGCCAGCGCCGGAGAGGACGATTACACTGACGCTAGGGTTTTGGTCGAGGGACGAGAGGGCTTTCGGGAATTCTGAGAAGAATTCGAGAGAAAGAGCGTTGCGCTGCCGCGGACGGTTGAGGCAGAGATGTACGACCGGAGAACCTGGGGGATTCTGCTTGATTGCTAGGCTTTCGTACTGCTCCGCCTCCATCTTCGCCGGCTGAGCTTCGGTTGACAGAGTTGACTGCGAGAATCAGGTAAAAACAGGAAAGAGACGACGGACAAAATGAAAAATTGCGAAATTGAGAAAGTAATTTTACTATTAAATTCAGAAGATTTGGAATTTTGCGGGAATTTTAAAAAAGGTCCTACCGGGAGTCGAACCCAGGTCGCTGGATTCAAAGTCCAGAGTGCTAACCACTACACCATAGAACCAATGCTTTTGTATAAATTTCATTTTTTCTACTCTCATTTACTTTCATCATGGAAACAATACGCACTTGCTAGTTGCTACAAAGTAAAAATTGACATTAACTTGTAACAATTTTGTGACATTAGAGATGCAAGTTGTAGGATGAGTTACTACATTTGAATCCACCTATCTTTATATATATATATTATATCTCACCCATATACAATTGATTTTAAAATTAGATAACAAAATCATTTCGATGGGCTATTGTAGAAATAGGGTTCAGTTCAATCTTTTGAAAATAGAATGTTTAACTGAATATGATATCTTTTCGCTTCCACTCCTTTCACCTCGAGTCTATTTATCATTTCGATATGATATTTAGCAAACGATTATCTTTCTCCATATTCAATGAAGATAATAGATTTGTTTTCATCCACTCATATCACCAATTGTTTCATGAGATTTGGAATAATTAGAGTACCAATATAATTTTATAGCTAAATAAATCTCACATTGTACCGTACCATACCGTGTTGTACCGTATCGTACCATACGTAAATAACTCTAGATTGTATTTTCTTCCCTTCGGGTTAACCTCCAAACCAAACACTTACTGTTACCAGAATTGAGCATTATCTCGAAACAACGCCAAAATTCAAAGCACCCAATCATAAGTGAGTGTATGTGAAATGAATTCCCCATATCAGTAAATATATAAGAACCCATATCCATCAGGCAGTGTTGTACACGAAAGTTGAACAAAATCAGGATATGATTGCAACCAATTAATTCTTATATAACGCTGGATCTATAGCTAGCTATATTCCACCTGAACAAAAAACAAGTCCTTTAATTTGGAAATTTGTATAGAGTTAGCTTAGCTAGGCAATTTTCCCCCCTTACACAACGTGTCCGTGTTGAATTAGAACAAGTCTCAAAATTGCAGTGTTATGATGTGTTGGGAAAGCAATTTGAAGATTTGGTATCCCCTTTTTTTTCTGCAGCTTGTGCCACAAAATTTGGGGAAGTGGAGTAGATACAAAAGAACTTTCCAGTATTATTGCCCTTTTTTGAGGATGGACCTCTTTGACTGCTTGCGGCAGCAAGCAATAATCCATCATTGAATCGGGAAATAATAACAGGGGAATCCTGGGAAGTTAGTGTTCTGCATGCCCTTCTTTTGCTCCCACAAGAAATTAATCAACCTAATGAAAAAAACAATTAGTATCCAGCTGGGCATAGCTAGGGCTTCATCGATCACTTGGCCTAAGATTTGAACTTGATGATGACAGAGAGTTTGTAAATTAAATTCGAACCCAATATTTAGTTTCGAGTGAATGATCATTTTTCTTAAAATCTAGATATAGAATATTGGGTTAGGAAGTGGCGAAGTGCTATAGTTTGTCTGCTACAGATATATTTGCATTTGATTACATATCATTTCGATTTCTATGGTATTACATATCATATATATTCACAATGATATATCTGAATTTGAGGAAATGGGAGCTCTTCAACACAAGGATTTACCATAAATATATATCTCTATTGATATGCTAGACATACGCAGATCTTCCCTGATCAACCAGACTGCCACGCTGTCGTCCGTCGGCCCGGATACAAACTTCAAACTAGGCTCTGATACCACTTGTCGAAACTAAACCGCTTCCTTAGTTTGATATTGTCTGCTTTGAGCCAAGTCAGCATGGATTTACTCGTGGGTATCCTCCCCAAAAAGTCTCGTACTAATGAATTTGGTGGACACTAATATACAAGGTGTCCTTCCCCTTATATTTCCGATGTGGTACTTGAATTGTACCCATAACATCTACACATGTAGGATACAACATCTTTGTTTTTAGAACCGGACCGGAGGCTGGACTGAAAAAGTTAGTGGTTTAGGGTTCAGTGGTTAACCGTTATAAAACCGTTGGTGAACTGTTGATAGACCGTTCATCATATATAACATATAAGCTTGTATAATATAGTAATTTAAGAATTAATTTATCATTGACCATAAACAATTTCGAATTCATATCATCAACAAAATATCTAATAAATCATTCAAACCGTCTCACAAAAGAAATCATAATTTTGTTAATTCAAATTAAAACTTACGGTGTCAGTCGATAGTGGGAAACATAAAGTTGAGAACAAGATTGGAAAATGAGAAGAAGAAGAACATATAAAATTAATAATTATCGTTTGATAGGTCTTAGTTAATATTTTTTAAAATTTTTTGTTTGCTTAAAAGAGTGAACCAGTTAAACCGTGATAGTTAATCTTATTTTATGTTAAACCGTGAAAAACCCGTTTGATCCATCAATAACCATCCAAGCAATGAACCGGACCGTTATCGTAATTGGTTTGACCGTTCTACTGGTCCGACCGTTGATCCGGTTCGGTTCTTTTAACAATGTACAACATATAATTATCAATTTGCAAGAATTGGATAGGAATTACGCAATCAATATAGTTAAGGATTGAACAAGTGGGAAACCTAACTAGTTTTGTACTCCTTAAGTAGATCCAAGTGTAGATGCTAAACTTAATTAATTAAGGGCAGTGCCCCCCAAATGAAGGAAAATAAAAAGGTGGTCGCCCACGACTCCATCGTTGTCTAACAAAATGTGGGTTCGATATCGCTGTAATTGAGCCCCACGGGAACAAAGAACCTTATCACCATGCCAATAATGGGATCAAAGAGAGGTGAATTGGTTCCTGCCTATAGCTCCATCACAAACCATGTACACGTCTCCACAATATAATTATAAGCCCTTTAATTCCCTATTTAGTTAGCTAGAAAGAATGAAATGCACAGAATGATGAGAAGGCAATTAATGAGTTAATGGTGGCTATTAGCTTGCCAAGCCAATATTGCCTCTGAATTGAGGAGTATACACGTCAAAGTATTATCATTATTGAATACTATGTATCCAATAACTATGTTGCGTTATCAAATTCGAACAGGCAGATTTTTATTATTATTTTTTTTCATTCTATATGTTTTGGTTTCAGTTTGTCACGTATCAGTTCATTCTAGTTATTTGAGTTACATTGTATATGCTTTGGCTATGGTTTGTCTTTTTTTTTTTTTTCTTAAATGAATTGAAGCACGGGGTTGTCCTTAATTTGATTTAGGATTGAATGTAATTTTAAAAAAATTTAGGACAACCACTTCGATTCAGACTCGATCATTTCAGTTTGGTTATCGTTTTATACGGAAACCAACTTCAAACAAACTAAAACAACAACAAACAGTTTCTTGACTTTTAACAGTGCATTATCGTTTTAGGGGAGTGCAGTTGTTATCCGTTACTATAAAAACTGTACAAAACTTTTCAATTAGCTAGTAACATCACTCACTCACGTGACCGATTGTGTTCGTATTTCTGTTTTAAACTGTCGATCAGTTGTATGATGAAAGATGAGCAAACCCTACATTCTGATGAGGGTCTTGCACTCTTGCTTTCCTGCAAATCTAACCAAAGTTCTCATACTCAAAGACATTTAGTCCATATCCAATCGAATGTGCAGCCTTGCAATGTTGGTGAATAGCATAAGTTTAATTACTGAACCTCTCCCAACAATTCGAGTTATTACTGGTTCTTGACTGATCTAGTAATATATATATATACCTGATTACTAGTCAGATATCGACCATATAAATCTGCGGGACAAGAGTTCATGTGAAGGATAAGAACTAGATGTACGTAAGTCGACAGATGAACAAAGGTAAGACTGTGTGGGGTAAAGGAAGACAAATGTCAGAAGCAAATTCGAGGTTGTTTCTAATGCCATACAACATTTTCGATCGCTAGGGTTTTGGCCATTCAATTTCATCCGGCAGGGGTCAATTTGCTTCACCTGCGAAAGCTACGTCTCCTTTTTGTTTTCTTCTCCCCTTCGCCCCGCCATGCATTAATTAATCGATTTCAATAATCATTGAGATCGACGATCCTCATCATCGATCTGTTCTGTGCATGCAAAATGAAATACGTCGTCATAGGATTGATTTAATTCCGGCAAAGTACGACACTTTAATTAGTTTAGTACTCCACCGACAAATGTGCATCACACAATCGATGACCAAAATCAAATCGCATCGGACCTTAATCATCATTGTCATAAATACTGCAGATGCAGAGGTGTACGAGACACCTAGGAAGTAGGAAGGAAGAAAAGATAGAACAAGAAGACCAAACCCAAAACAGCAAGTGAAGTATATATATATACTTTCATCAACAAGGTTGCAAGTTGTAATTAAGGGCTAGTTTGTTTGTTGGATTTGAAAATGAGTGTTTTGAGTTTTAAAATTTTTTGGATTTATGATGGATTTGTTGCATTATGAATTTGTAAGAGTTCCATTGTTTGTTTGGTTAATTTTTATCATGGATTTATCATTGATTTGTCTCACAACTTTGCCTTCCATGATCAAATCCTAAATGAAATGCGGGATTTGCAAATCCATGGTCCATGGATTTAAAAAAATGGTCCAAATCCGTAGCCCCCACGGATTTTTGTCCCTCAGCAAACAATGGAGTTGTCCAAATTCCATGATGCTTAGGATTTGGGTGCCAAATCTATCACCCAAATCTCACAAGCAAATGATACCTAACTTAAGTGGCCAAAGGTATAACTCCCATAAAATTTCCCGTTCATGTTCGTGTGTGAGTATTGCGATTTTCATCGAGTTCCAAATACCGCTATAAGGAAATGATTCCTTTTCTAACAAAAATAAATGTTCTCAAAGTAACAAAATGGTTGCAAACAATGGTTTGATCTAGTGATAATACCATTAGTTTTGAACCTGCAGGTTCCTGGTTCGAATTCCTTCCATACTACTACTATCTAACTACAAAAATCAACTTATATCACTCTTAGAAAAAAATTAAAAAATAAAGTAACAAAATCACCGCA